CAGACATTCCTGTGACATAAAATGTCCCAGGGCTGAGAGGCCAGAGAAAGAGGCCAGCGACTCCATCATCACATTGAGAGTTTATTACGGGAGCCCCACATGAGGCGCGCCCTGGGTGGCAGCAACATGACATGAAGAGCCTCCCTGCCATGTGGCGGGTCCTAGGGGGCTATTAGGACCGGGCAGGGTGGATGTGGGCCTGGGGCGTGAGCTGCCCCAGAGAAGGGGAAAACATAAGGAGAAAATGTCCCGGGACCAGCTTGTCTGGGGCCGAGGGGAGGGGTCAGACACTATCTCTAAGGGATTTATGGGAAACAGTCTCTGTGCTGGACCTGGCCTGAGGGCTGGCAGTGGCCACGTCATGGGACAGTCTTCCTCCACAATTACTCTGGTGGAGAGGGAAACAGACCAGGAGCCGTCTTTCCAATGGAGGAGAGAGTGGTGGTGAGACTTACTGAGAGGCGGTGGGGCAATGCAGTCAGTGTGGGCACGTGGACAGCATACAGGGAAACTGTGGTTTGCATTCTTTTTTTCCCTTTTTTTGTTTTGTTAACCTTCACCTGAATATATTTTTTTCATTGATTTTTAAGAAAGTGTGGAAAGGAGGGAAGGAGGGAAGGAGGGAGGGAGGGAGAGAAACATCGATGTGAGAGAGATGCATGGATTGGTTGTCTCCTGAAGGTGACTTGACCAGGGCTGGGAATCCAACCTGCAACCCAGGTACATGCCCTTGACCAGGGTTTGGCTCAGTGGATAAAGTGTTGGCCTGTGGACTGAAGTGTCCCGGGTTCGATTCTGGTCAAGGGCATGTACCTTGGTTGCGGGCTCCATCCCCAGTTGGAGTGTGCAGGAGGCAGCTGATTCATGTTTCTCTCTCATCGATGTTTCTAGCTCTCTATCCCTCTCCCTTCCTCTCTGTAAAATCAATAAAAATATATTAAAAACAAAACAAACAAACAAACCGGAAACACCGTCCAAAGCTGGTTATCATTCTTAAGACATCTCCTTTTGGAGAAGGAAAGTGCATGCCAATGTGACCAGACGCCGGAGATCTGGGGTAAAACCGTCTGGGAGTAAATCCTCCCTCTTTACCTATTCACATGGGCCACTGGGTGACGGTGCAGCGTCGCCATGCTTGAGCGGGGCAGAGAGACCAGGCCTGCGACGAGAGCGAAGACTGATGCAGGCTCATTGAGAGAGCTCAACCACACAGGGATGCTGGCCGGGACCAGGTGGTGGTGGTTGTGTTTCCCAGAGATGGCCACTGTGTTCATGACAAGTTATCCCCAAAGGTAGCAGCTGAAAACAACAAACCGTCATTTCCTCGTGGTTCCCGTGGGCCAGGAATCTGGGCACAGCTTACTTAGCAAAGTGCCTCAGCGTTAAGGTTTCTCACCGGTGGCAGCCGTGGTGGCAGCTAGGACTGCTGTCATCTCAAGGTTCGACGGATATGGTTGAATGTAGGTCCACCATTTTATTATTTATTTTCTGCTTATCTCCTTTGCTTTTTCTTCTTCTCTCTCTTTTTTTTTTCTTGCCTCCTTTTGGATTATTTGAATATTTTTAGGATGAATTTAGCTATTGAGTTTTTATTATCTTTAATGGTAGCTCTAGTGACCACAACATACATACTGTAGTTTGTATGGTCTACTTAGAATTAATATTTTACCACTTCAAGTGGAATGTAGAACCACTATTTAGTTTCCTCCCTCGTGTGTGTGTGTGTGTGTGTGTGTGTGTGTTATATTTTCATTGATTTCAGAGAGGAAAGGAGAGGGTGAGATAGAAACATCAATGGTGAGAATCATTGATCGACTGCCTCTTGCACACCCCCTACTGGGGATCGTGCCTGAAACCCAAGCATGTGCCCTGACTGGGAATCGAACTGTGATCTCCTGCTTTATAGGTCGACGTGAAGTATGGTAGCAATCATCTCAGGTAGAAACTATAGTTTAACTTTAACCCTGCTGTTTGGTTTCTGTACTTATTTGCTTGCTAAAATAATAGAAAAGTCATTTTGCTTTTCTGAATTATATAAATTATCCCATTCGATTGAATACCCTATTGATTGTAATGTGAATATCCCATTGGCTGTGGTCATACTGGTTATCGAAGCACATTCCTCTGTACCTGGGAAGGACAGCACAATTATCCCAAGACCCGAGGGCTCCAGATAATGTGTTTCTGTCAACTCAGTGATCCCGAGACCCAAAACTATAATTTAGATAACATGCTTAAGTCTGTAAACTGCTTTTTGCAAACCAGGTTCCTCATTCCAAACCCTGGGATGTAATCAATACCTTTGTGATCTTTGCCTACATAAATCTGGAGTTGGGGCTGGGGAGGGCACTATGAGATCTGGGAGAGTGAAATGCCCCTCATAGTCCCGGATTTGCAACAAATGTGACTCTTTAATTTGACTTCTTGAGGCGTCCTTGTGTGATTCGCGGGGTACATTACAACAGACGCTTAACCACTGAGCCATGCCGGTAGGTGTAAATGTTTATTGAACACCCACAACAACTCTCCAGCCTCCCCCTCAGGTCTTGTGCCATCAACTCAGTTTCCACCCATCAACCAGCTGGGCCTTCTACCTCAGGCCTGGAAAATTCCTCCGCTGCTTCAAAAGCCTTCAGTGGCACCCCACTGCCCTCGGTAATGACCAAGCCCTATAGCCTGGTATTCAAAGTCCTTTATGAAGTCAGCCTCCTCAGTCCCATCTTTCTCTTCCTCCCTCTCACCTTCAGCCCCTCCTCATACACCAAGTTCAAGCCATTCTGGAAGTCTTGCAGTCCCTCCAGCATTCCTGGGGTGTCCCTGGGCCAGATGGGCTGCTGCCTTGGCTTGGCAGGTTCCCCACTCCCACCCAAGTCCACGTTGATGAAACTCATTCATCCTCCTTTGCCCCTTGTCTTGGCTCCCCAGTTGCTGGGGTTACCCATCAAGCTTCCATCAGGATCAGGTGCAGGGTGAGGACCAAATTCATTCATTCATTCATTCACAACAATTTCTTGAGCACCTACTGTATACCAGCCCCTGATGTAGGAACAGAATACCACAGTGAGCAAGACAGATACATCTCTGGTCTTAAGGAGCGGACCTTGTTGGGCAGGGGTAACACTCATTTAATAAGCAAACCAATGGGTATCATTTACAATATATTTATAAGTGTTATTGAGGGAATAGAGCAGAGTAAGGGAAGAGAGTGTGATGAAAGGGGGTCTGTTTTAGATATGTTATTGAAGCAAGTACCTTTGAGGAGGTGACATTTAAATACCTCCTCCAAATAAGGGAAGAGTACAAGTCACGCAGATATCTGGAGAAAGGGTGTACCCTGTAGAGGGGACAGTAAGTGCAAAGGTCCTGAGGTGGGAGTCAACTTGGGTGTTGAAAAGACACAAGGGAGGCCAGTGTGATTGGGATGGAGTAGGAGAGAGGAGGAGGCAGGTGCAAACAATGCCAGGGCGGGCTCTGCAGGGCCCTCGCTGAACGTTGAAACAGGAGCAGTTGTCTGGAGCTTGAGTATGATGTTCCATGTTCTTTATCCGGGGTTAAGCCCAATGGCCTGGGCCTGCTTGGAGACAACCCGACAGCAGCGGACTCCCCAGGGTCTCAGGACTTGCAGCCATGGGTGCTCATGTACTCTGAAAATCCCTCCAGTTGGCCCAGCAATTCCTTCTTCTCCACATCCCCATCCGCTGGCCAATGCATGAGGAATGTCTCCTTGCCCAGGACATAGTTGTAACTGTGGGTAAGGGAGAGCAAAGAAGGTGAGGAGAGCCTGGTGCTCCCAGAGGCATGGAGACTTCCCTTCCTTGTCCCTCTGCCCTGCTTGGCAGCCTCCCAGAGCCTCGGCCTATAGTGTCCACTCCCCAGGGCCATCTTGGGTCCCCAAGCCTCTAGTCCATTCATCTGGGGATGGAAACCGGCTCCCCTTCCTCTGACTCTTTACTACCCGCCGTTGGAAAACCGAGTCTACATCTCCTTCTACAGCGTCTCCGTGGGAATGCTGTTCCCTGCACCTCCATTCAGTGTGGCTCTCAAACCCAAGACTCTACTGACAAATGCAATAGAGATTTTGACACCAGGGACTGGGCTGCAGTAGGGGAGGGGGCCCAGGCGGAGTCCCCAGGGCACAGGAGGCCCCCACGTACTCAGATTTGACTCTCCACAGGTCTGATGTCCGGCCCATGATGAGGTATGACTCTTGTTTCTGCAGCTCCAGCGAGTCATGGCAGGTGGCATGGGTGATGAATTTCTTCATGTCCAGGGGCATGGCAGCAGCGTCCGTGCCTGGAGGAGAGGAAACCCAGTGTATGCCCAATGAGCATGCACAGGCCTGGCCCTCCCCCAGAGCAGGGACCCACCCATCGCTTCTGCCACCTGGGACGTACCACTCTTGATGATGGCTTGGAGCTGCATGTTGTAGTAGATGTAGGGGTTGGAGGCAGAGGCCTCCACAGCCTCCAGCCTGGCCTTGAACACTGGGGAAGGCGGGACAGGAGGGCTTGTGTTGGTGTCCGGCCTGCAGGTGGGCCTCCTGCCTCCTGCCATTCCCACAACTCACCAAAGTCCATGCCTGCCTCACAGGCCGCCAGCTGGAGCTCCTCCTGCCTCATCCAGCTGCTGTCCTTCTTCTGGCTCGGGCACTGTTCTGGAGGGGGAGAGGCAGCTGCTCTGGCGCGCTGGGGGAGGGGCTCCCTTCCACCAGACCCCCATCAGGCCCCAGGTCTCTGCGTCTGGCCTTCCTCCAACCTCGGTGTGACTTGAGCGTGTGTGTGCCAATCTGCCTCTGGTTCTCCTTTTCTCTCTCTGTGTCTCTATCTTCCTATCGTGCCGTGTCTCTGCCTACACTCATCAGCCGGGCGGCACTCAGGAGGTGACCAAGGGCTTCTGGACCCCCAGCCTGGCAGCCTTGGGCCTACGTCCCCATGACCTCACCCTCAGCACATCTGCAGACCTCTTGGTAGCAGATCTTCCGCAGGTCAGATCGCTCCGTGGGCAGGTTGTAGAAGGAGCTGCACCTCCGGGCTGCGAGACCGGCGCGTGCCTGGGTTTGGCTTGGGCCAGAGGTCC